ACACAGAGTCCAGTACAATTCTGGAAGATGCTCGTGCACTTCAAACCCCTGCTGCAATGCACTCACTCACTCACTCATCTGCTGTTCTTAAGCTTTCAAGCACTGGAACCAGATCTACTTTACAACATGAGCTGCTGGAACCATGAACAACATGAAACCCTCCCTTGCAGGAGCTCAGCCAGAATCTGAATTTAAGCAATGAAAATCTTCCCCTTTGACTCACTGTGATATTTGGTTTTAGGCCCCTGAGACTGAGTTTTCAGAGAGTGGGTGCCTACAGGCCACTCACTTCCACGGAGCTTGGATTAAGAACAAGTGATGCACATGTGATCGTACATGAAATATTTTTCATGTTTGAAAATGTCTTTTAGAAAAGCTACAGTCTCAAAGTATGGAATTAGGACACAGCATGGGGCTGGTTCCCTCATGCACCTGTCCCCAGAATGAGTAAGAGCTGATACTGCAGAATGAACCAGGACAGCCCCATGAGCTGGAGCAGCTCCTCCTGGAGGGTTCATCAGCTCACCACCACAAATATAGACTGCCAGGCAAAGGGAACTGTGTGTTTGGGTGCAGGGAGACCTGATCCCAGCACACACCCACACTTGACAGGACACAAGTTCCATAGTTTAAGCTACAGCATTCCAGACAGCTTCAGTTCACTGAGACAGCCATGCTGTCTTCTAGGACAAAGAAATTCCCGTTTTCAATTTTAGATTTTTTTTTTTTTCCCTGACAATTGAGGGGAAGGGAGAGGGGTTAAAATGGTGTAACAACAGGAAGGAGCTATTCACTGAAAACATTTCCCAGACATTTTTCTGATTGAAAATTCTAACTGGAAACTTCTCCACTTCAAATGGCCAGATGACCTCCAGCATTTTGTGTACTGGAACAAGATGGGTTTAGAAGTTACCTCATATTAATTAAGGACATCTGAACAGTCTTGCTGGGCCTAGAGATATTTTGAATTGTCCTGAGCAACATCCCAAGACTGAAGTTTTCAGTAAGATGATACTTCTGGCCTGTTAAGCAAACGAACCTCTACAAAGGTCTGGACACACTATTTTTGGAGATGACAATGCATATTTAGGAGAGGTAAATCATAATCCAATCCCCCCTTGTTATTCTCCAGCTGCATAGAGTGGACATATTTTAAAGGTTTCAATCATTTTAGCAATTTGGCATTTGCTTCAAACTAAGTCAGGGTTCTGCTGTCTTTGACAGAGACAAGGAAGGAAACTCCTGTCACCAGACAGGGATGAACAGAAGGGAGACAACCCCATAAAACACAGAGGGAGAAAGAAAATATCAACATGACAAAGAGCACTGCCCTAGGGCTTGTGAAGCAACCAGATACTACCACAGAATCCCAGAAAGGTTTGGGTTGGGAGGGACCTTAGAGCCCATCTCTCAGAGCCCCTGCCATGGCCACAGACACCTTCCACTAGCCCAGCTTGCTCCAAGCCCCATCCAGCCTGCCCTTGTGCATTAATCAATTTTTCAATCTCATTACAATACTTTACTGTTGAAGATTTCCTTTCCTAGTCTTCTCCCAGCTGTTCTGAGGTAAACTGCTTTATAAACGATTGTGCTTTGGATTCAGCTTTATTTAGACAGGTTTAGCAATTAGAGCTGCTCTTAATAACAGAAATCCCACCATGATATTCCCATTTTGTTAGGAAATTCCAACCTGACATGTTCACTCCCCCTTTTGCAAAGCACCCAGGAGTTCCACGGAAACATCTGGATTAAGCCTCTCAGACTAATGAACACATTCTATAATTTTTTTTCCCCAAATCACATTACCACTTACTTTCTTACAGAAAGAATTACTTCAATAACCTCCTCCTCAAAGGAACATCCCATCATTTTTTATAAAGGCACAAATAAAATTAATCTACAGGAGATGCTATATTATTAAAACATATGCTGAAATCAACAATGCTCAAGGCTCTATCACAGCATTTTGTTCTTCATTGGTATTTACATATTATAGTTCTTATATATTGCCCTGGAAATCAGCTTTGAAGTGGAATGATGAATAAATGAAGATTTATTATTACTATCCTTATTAGAGGGATTTTAAAGTCATTAGAGACCAACAGACATAATAATCATATTATATTCAATCTTCTCTAGAACATCTCCTTTGATAAGCCTGCTAACTCAATTATTTAAATATATATTACAGCAAAATGCAGCATGACTTCTACAGCTTGGGACAAGGTGGAAATTTTTATGTTTTGGTTTCATTTGCCAGGACTTGTCCTTACAGAATTAATGGGTTTCATGATGGGTTTCTTGGTTTTAGACACCAGGATTTCAAAATTCACAGCAAGCACCTGGCTCAATGTGTCTGCTCAGCTAAAATAGAAGGTTAAAAGCTGGGGAAGAAATAGGGTACTGGAGATCAATCTTAACCTGCAGTGACTTTTAAAAGTTAAAAAAAAGAAATCTCTCAGAAGCTATGATCTCCCAACAGTCAATATACTTGACTGCAACCAATCCCAACATGAAAGCAGCAAGAAAGATCCAGAGGTTCTGAGGAAGAGCCAAAGCAGAACTGCACCACTCCAAGAAGCTCCAAAAATTCTCTCTGGATTCAATGTCAGTCAAGTAAAAACTACTCATGGGGACAAAAAATCCAAACACTGCTTAAGTGGATTACTATTGACTCTTTCTGCCTGCAGCTTGTCTGGGGCAGGTGCTAGAGGAAGGGAGGTGAACTGCTCCCAGTGGGGTGTAGTCACACAGTCACACATCCTTCAGACCCCACTGCCAGCCCAGGGAAGGCAGCACCAGCACTCTGCTCTTTTCCTTTAGCCCTCTCCCTGCTGTACCAAATCCCCCAGGACTTCCTCCCCATGTGAAACACCTGAGCCACGAGGCTCATCCCTGCTGGTTCTGCACAGGCACCTGACGCCACCTTAGTCCCCAGCTGCCAACACTGCCTGTGTCCCTGTCCATGCATGGCTCATGCTCACTGATATTCTCAGGGGGTTACTGACACATCAGCCACCTTCCAACCCCACCTGACTTCTGCTTCCCTTACTTTGCAGCCTCCTTGCCAAGAACTAACCTCTAATTCCCTCTCCAGCACCTCCTGGCTCCTCGTTTCCCTACCACTCACCTTGGTTTAGCTCTGCTTGTTCATACTGCAGGGAACTTTCAGTCCCCACAGGCAGCACAGATACTCTGCTCGTGGCCACTGGCAGGGTGAGACACTTCTGCCCCTCCCCAGAAATAAGAAAAGAAGCATCAGGCTGGGCAGGCCCTGGCACAAGGAGCCCAGAGAAGCTGTGGCTGCCTCTGGATCCCTGCAAGTGTCCAAGGCCAGGCTGGACAGGGCTCAGCACACCGTGGGACAGTGGAAGGTGTCCCTGCCCAGGGCAGGAGGTGGCACTGGACAATCTGTAAAACTCCAGCTCAACCTCCTCCTGCACCCAGCTCCTGACCTAGAAGCCGTCTTTCAACAGCAAGGGAAAAATGTGACTGCTAAGGTTACCATTCAATGAGTTAAATCAGATTCCAACTCTGCTAAGAAGGAATCAGTCATGGGCTCAGGTCTTTAGGAATAACAAATCCCACACCTAAACTAAAGCATGGGCCAGAAAATGGTTAAGAGCATGTAGTACTCCTGACAGCAAAATACAGAACGATTCACAGCCCTCAGATGGATCCCAGAATACCTAAATGATACTGCTGACACCAGTCCAGCTCTATAAATGGGAGCCTTTTAAAATCCCTTCAATCTTCTTGATCCTCTGACTACAGAAGCTACTTTAAGTTTCCTCTGTTAGTTATGATCTTTGGCCCACAGCATGTGGTTAAACCACCAACAAAAAAAAAAAAAAGACTGAGACTCACATTTTGCCAAAAATTGCTCCCTCACTAAGTATAAGCTAAAATCTAAATTCAAATTCCTCTGAGCAACCGATAGCATTTACTGTTTATGACAGCACTTAAAGGCCTATTTTAAACAAAAGCAATGTACTGAGCTCACAATTCCAAAACCAGCATCTCCCAGGGATGAGAAAGAGGACTGAACAGTCCTGAAGTTTGTTCAACAACTGCTTTCTCTTCAGGTAACACCTCTGGGTATTCTTACTCTGGGATCCACTGGGAGAGCAAGCCAGCCCTCAGAAAGGCTGGAAAAAACACCAGGAAGGTTTGGTGTACTCATGACCAAGGCACTTGTTTTAAGAATAACAGGACCAAGGCAGCTTATTCACAGCTGACTTAACTTTCAGGCAGGTATCCGGGCAGATCTAGAAATTCATTTCTGAACAGTCTTTCAGATTATTCCTGACATTTTAAAATCTGTATTTAAAGATTTACATATTTATCTAAAAAAAAAAAAAAATCTTTGCACATACTAACAGAATCTGGGGCATGACTATGATTTTATCCCCTGTCACTTTACCTCTGCTGATGCACAAGACCTGGATCACAGACCAGTCTTCACACTGAACCAGATGTTTTCATCCCACATTCCCAGCACCACTAAATCTCTCAATTTCCAGTTTTGCTGTACCTTCAAACTCCATTTGCTATAGGACTTCAGAACTAATGTTTTATTGCTTTACAGAAGTGAGGAATTACTTTTCCAACCAGACAGATTTTTAGTTTTAGGAATGAGTCAACTATGTTCATACCCAGTGGCATATAAACATATACCAGAGACACATATACAAATACCTATATAAATACATATATAAACACATGAGGGGTTGTGCAAGTCATTGTCTTTGAACTATTCCAGGACTCGAGGAGGTAAAGACAGCATAGTACCGTACATCACTTAAAATGTTATTTTTTACTAAGGGTTTCACCTCTGTTTCAAGTGTCATGGTACCCTCCCCTGGATGGGCAAACTGCTCTGCCATTGTGACATATTTTGACAGGCATTTTGCTTTGTGTCTGGTGAAAGGCTAAGACTCCCTCGTACACATTCCAGGACACTCACGGTGCTGGAATAAAGACAATCCTGCGACACTCACCCCCAAACACATCTCCGTTCTGGTAGTTCTTGCCCTTCTGAGTTTCCTCTTCGTTTTGAACAGTAGACACATGCTTGGCGGAGGCACAGCCCATAGCTTCATTCAGACAGCTCCAGCTGGACCGAACCACAGATCATCTCTAGCGACGCCCGCTCATCCTCGCAGAAATAATCCACCTTCCTGCTCGCCTCTCGCGTGCCTTCCACCTAAACACGGCCAAAGAGAGAGGAAAACGTTCACACAGGGTACCCTCTACAAGATGAGCTTCAAGGAGATAAAAAGTGGAGTTTGTGAGGAGGAGCACAAGGGCACAGCCTCCACAGCCTGAGGCTGCTGAAACCATACTCCGTATCAGCTGGTACAGGCAGGTCATGATAAAGGTGCCTCCACCCTGCCCTGGCACAGAGCAGTTGAACTCAAAGCCTCTTCCAGCCTGATTCTTTAATCCACGGCTTGAAGACAGCAACATGCAGATCTGTTTCCCACCCAGGCAGCTATTCTCACAGAACGCAGAGGGTTTTGGGAGAGGAGATAAGAAACCATCAATATCTGCTCCTCCTGCTCCTTTTACCAATCTACCCAGCAAGCCAGATTTCTTAAAAGCATTTTACTGATTAGGAGCTGCTAATTGCAAGTGTTGGGACAAAATAACCCCTCTAAATCAATTAAAGATCTTATGTTCCCAGATGTGAAAGGCGATAGTCAGCTGTATTATCTTTTCTCTACGTGTTCATTATTCTACTCAATCCATAAAACCTCCATCACTCAAAAAGACAACCACCCCCATTTTAAGAGGGAATAACACTCCCTGAACAGTCCAGATGTCACATAAAACAAAAGGGAAAAGAAAAATCGAATCCAGAACTGTAATATTTTAGGTTAAAAAGAAATTCAAGTTCATGAACTGTTTATTGCTAAACGGTTCTGCACTGGAACAAAAGCTACCTCAGAGTTTGGTTAGATGACCTGGTTTGCCTTTCCACCAGCCAAACTTTTAAGACGAAAGAAAAGTGAGAAACTCTCCCTTTTACCAAGTTTTTTAGCTGAGCTATAGTATAAGATCATACACTCAATTTCTTAATTCATTACTTCTGAGCTTTACAAGGCTGTGGCTCACTTTGCTCCACGCTGACCACAAGTTCATGTGTAACATCAGAAAAGCACTCTTACCTAGGGAGAGCTGGAGCAAGATGATCTTTAAGGTCCCTTCCAACCCAAAGCATTCTATGACACAGCAGTATCCACTGCAGCAGAAATGGATAATCCCATGGGAAACGGTGACTTTCCCTCAGCACTGGCAGCTCATGGTCTAGGAGGGTTCTGCTCCTGCCTCCACAGGGATTTTCCTGCCCATTCCCAAAGCCACAGACATGAGGATGTGGCAGCCAGGCTCAGAGTGATTCATTTAGCAGACCCCCTTCAGCAAGCAAGGGGAAGGACTCTGGATGCAGAACCACCTCTAACTCCTACTCACAGCCAGCTTCCCCCTTCTCTGCACAGAGCAGTGCTTGTCCTCCTCTTGGCAAGGGTGTCCCAGAACACACAATGTGTATCTGCTAACCCCTGTCCCCAGCAGCCACCCCTCCCTAGTTTTACTTCAGTGCATCCCCCTACATGCTCTACTCTTTTTTTCCTTTTCTAATACAGACATGCCTGAATTTCTTGTTGCCCCATCCTTCTCTTCCCCCTTAGACAAAACTAATTACTCACCCCAAAACACAGGTTTTTATAGGATAACAGAAAAGCTTGGGTTGGGAGGGACTTTAAGCTCATTTCATTGCAACCTCTGCCACAGGCAGGGACATCATCCTCTAGCCCAGGCTGCTCCAAGCCCCATCCAGCCTGGCCTTGGACACTTCCAGGGATCCAGAGGCAGCCAATGTTTTGGGCAACTAACACCAGGCACTGTTGCTGTCGTGGAAGGGAGTGAGCACACCCCTCTGGAGCTATTTTTTAACCCTATGTGGTTACATAACTTCTCTCCATCCCAGAAAACCTAGATTTTACAGGAAAAATCACTATAAAGCCAGGGAAGTTCCTCAGTTTTTGCAGTCTAGGGAGGGTCACAGCTGACAGTTCATCCTCTCCTGTGTCCAAGTGGCAGCCTGCACTAAGGTCTTCATCTCACTGCTGGGGATAACAGGGATCCAAAGGGATTTAAAGCATCAGCCATGCTGTGCTTGGAGACAGATAAATACAGAGGGGTGTGGGAGATGGAGGAGAAATAGCAAACTGGGAAAGGGAACTGCTGCCTGGACTGGAAACGAAACAGGGACTTATCTTCCCAGAGGACAGAAATTTGGTTAAAGACAAAAGCTTTTAATGGACAGCTGAAACAAATGAAGGGGGTAAACATGACCAACAGAGCCTGGTTGTCTGACTTCTGGTTTAAAACACAACCAGTAGTATTATTCCAGGGAAAAGGGTGTGGCCAGCTATAGGGAAAGGAGCAAGGGAAGGCTTGATGTAACCCTGGAAAGGATGTGGAGGTGTTTGGGTGAGACCTGGGTAGGAGGCTGTCATGGGGGAATGACTGCCTACCACAGCTCAGCCCCTCTGAGGAGCAGAACTACAGGCACAGAAGTACCTGTTGAATGAATTATGCTTCTTCCATATTCAATTATTTTTCCTGTTTCCTTTTCTGCCTCTCAGCAGGGACCGTTTACAAAAGGGAAAACAGCTGCTGAGTAATAAAACCCAAATGTATTTCACAAAGGAGCAGTGGGATGGGTTTAGGAAGGAGATTTTTTTAATGAAGCCTTATATAGCCAGCATGCAGCACAACAAATTGCAAAATGCTTAATTATTGATTAGTGCCCAGGACAGGATGGCCCCAGGACCACTGAGCTGCATGAACAATCAGGAGCAAGGGGATAGAGAACAGGAATGCAGCAGGATGAAGCTCTTTAGGGGAGAAAGGGAAAAAATATTCATGGTCAAATCTCTCCTACAGCATTTTGGTAGCACACATCAACCTCTAAAAATACGGTCATGTTTGAAGGCAGACTGTGATTAAAGGAAACAGATGGGGATACAAGAACTCGAAGTTCTGGAAGTTAAAGAACAGCAATCACAGCAGCACCTGAAAAAGCCATACAATTAATAGTCGGGTTATGGAGGCAAACTTCTCCTGGTGCCAATAAACTCGGCTGAGAAAGCTACTGAAAAATGACCTCCAAGGTGAGTCTAACACACACTTCCAGGCACTGCTGTTAACATAGTGCTGCGAGACACAGGTAACTAAACACAACCCGGGGACAGTAGAGGATCTAATACCAAGAACAGAGTGGGAGCAAAGCAGCATTAATCTCACAGGGAATGAAATCCAGGTACAGGGCAGCAGGACACTCTCCAGCTTTGGGAAACCTCCCCTGCCTGAGGACCAGAGCTCTCAGAAATGAGGTTTGGGAATCACTCAGAAGGAGGTGCTGGTCCTCACTCAGTGGGATGCCTGGCAAAGCTCTGGGGATGTGAAACACAGCACTTCACAGGGCAGCAGAACAACACATCCGTTCCTCCTCCTCCTCCCCCACTTCTGCACAAATGTAATCTTCCCTTTTGTCTTCCACAGCATTTTGGGGGCACACAGATTTTCAGAAGCCAAAAATAAAAAGAAGAAGAAAACCTCAAACCATTTGCAGTTCATGTTCACCACCCACCATCACTAATTATCAAGATTTGAGAGGCAATTTGCAGGCTCCGATCTGCAAAACGCTGGTGAGAAAAATCTCTCAGGCAGATCAAAAGTGTCTACACCACCCCCAAATGAAATGCAGCAGGTTGAGGATTAACATCTTACACGTGGGTCAGAAGAAGACTAGAGGCACTCTCAGATGCTGTGCTTTGTACCCCAGATTTCTTCTGACCTAAAAATGGGGGAGCTCAACTCTTAGACTAGAAAATACCTTTGGAAACCTTCAGCAATTTCTTTTTTCTTTCTTCTGAGCAAAGCCTATGATGTATTTTTTCCTTTCCCAACTCTTTCAACACTTCATTAATCCACTCATTATGCCCTCAACTCTTATTTCTGATGGTCAAAGGCTGCATCCTTGACAAAATACATTTTGCTTCCACAAACATTTCATACAAATGGAGGACTTCCAGTGTTTTACAACAAATGCATGTTAATTCTTCTATTACAACAGGTGTATTTGTTTTCCTCTTTATTGCATTGAGATAACTGATCTTGCATCATCTTCAGGGTGTATCTGCAGATACATCCACAAGTTTCTTTCTGTGCTGACCACACAGGAAATCGGGTTAAAATTTGACAATGCTCAAGAGATCAAAGCAACAAGTTCCATGCAACCATGAAAAACCCGTAAGCTACAAAAGCCATCCTTGGCTTTTCCCATGAAACAACCTGTTCCAGGCAGAACTTGAGGATTTCACTTCCTGCTACTAATTACATTTATTTCCTATAAGAAATAAGGCTGTTTGATTTCCATTTCATTTTTTTTTCCCAAGAAGAAGAAAGCAGAAATGAATTCTGAATTTGTCCTGCACAAGGGCTGCCAGCAATTAGCACCTGGGACTTCTCCACTGCAACATCCCTCTTTCTCAGCTCCCCTCCACCACAAAAGATGGCTTTTTGGGTGTTATTCAACAGCCAAAAGGCATTTTTGGAGCCAAAAGGATATCACTTTTGCCTTTGAAGTGCACCAATGGCCTAAGGAAGGAAGGAAGGAAAAAGTATTAAAGAAAAAAAAGTTCATATAAGGTCTCTTTCTCCTTCTTCAAATTATTCAAATTGGTACGAATAGTGCAGTTATATTGAAAATTAACCCAATGACTTGCTAAATGAACAGCAGAATGAGTGGTGCAAACACTGCAGCAACATCTTCCAGTGGCTTTAGGGGAAAAGAAAAGTCAAAGTGAGTGGTGATTTCTGTTCCTTGGGAGCCATGGACAGAAGATGCTGCCCTCACCCATGGTACAAACAGCCAGGAAATGAAGCATTTTCTGCCCTTCTACAAATGGTTTGCCCCTGTGCTGCTCAAGTCCTGTGCTCACTGCAATTTCAGCCTCCTGCTGGAAGCTGTCCCAGAGGCAGGTGAGCAGAGCAGGGACTGCCTGGAAGGGGAGGGAATCAGCTCCAGGCTGGAAAGCCAGGGCACAGGGAAACACACACGGCTTTGCACCAAACCAGCCCAGCTGCCCAGGCCAGTGGGCTGCCCTGTGTCCTCCCCTGGGAAGCTGCACTCAG